TCAGAAAAAAAAAAAAAAAGAAGGAAAGGAAAAAAAGGAAGGAAAAGGAAAGAAAGGAAAGGAAAGGAAAGGAAGAAAGGAAAGGAAAGGAAAGGAAACTGAAGGCGGACACAATTACCCTTTTGTATATCTAAAAATTACATCAAAGTATAGCCATTAAGACCAACTGGTATTTGTCCAAAACAGACACTGGAATAAATCCAAGACCAGAAATTGTCCTCGTAATACAGGAAATTAGGAACCTCAAGTCAGTGAGGAAAAGACAGAGTGTTCAAATAAGTTTAGGTTTCCATGGGGAGGAGGAAAAGGGCAAATTGAATCTAACCTTACACTGTTGTAAAATTAAATCCCAAGCCATATTAAGAACAATGTCACTCTGGGAGGCCGAGGCGGGCGGATTACTTGAGTCAGGAGTTGAAACCAGCCGAGCAAGACGAGACCCATCTCTACTATAAATAGAAAGAATTCATTGCCAACTAATACAAAAAAATTAGCCGGGCATGGTGGCGCATGCCTGTAGTCCCAGCTACTCGGGAGGCTGAGGCAGAAGGATTGCTTGACCCAGGAGTTGAGGTTGCTGTGAGCTAGGCTGATGCCACAGCACTCCACTCTAGCCTGGCAACAAAGCAGACTCTGTCTCAAAAAAAAAGAAAAAGAGCTAATGGTAAAGCAATGCCATAAGACTATTGTATCAAATACAAGGGAAATTTTAAATCTTCAGTAACTATCTGCCGTGGAGGAGCAGCGCTGGCACCTGAGCCCGGTCCTTATATAACCTCCATCCTCTCAGCCTGCCAGTGCAGGCTGTCTCCCCTGCAGGGCGAGGGCAAGCCCATGAGCCAACTCCAAAACTGCTCGATGGGACATGCAAAAACGTGGAGCAAAGCCAGGGAACGTCTACACGTGGAAGCTAAACCTAGGGGCTGCTAAACAGAGAGAAAACAAGAAAAAGACAAGGGTCGAGAGATGGTGCCGTGAAGGTGGGCGGGGCCTGGCGAGGGCGGGCTGGGAGGGCGGGGCCGGGAGAGGGGGCGGGCTAGGGTGCAGTCCTCGGCAGGGACCGGATTCAGGTGTGAGTGAGCGGCCTGGGAAGCCGCCCCAGAGACCAGGCCGCCCAGGTCTGGGAGAGACCCAGCCCCGGACGCCCCGCCCGCCCACCGCGCGCGGGGGGCAGAGCATCCTGCTCTCTTGTCTGTTCCTCCAGGACTCCCCACTTTCCGACAGTTACTTGCGGCCACCGTGGTTGCTGGTGACAGTCAATCGCTGTGTGTCCCCGCCCAGAGTGGAACCTGCGTCTCTCTGCAGATGTCATTCACACTGTGACCCTCCTCAGAAATAAAGCCTGAAAAGAAATGTGAGCCTGGAGAGGCGTGCGCCTGGAGTCCCAGGGACGACGGGAAGCTGAGGCAGGAGGACACTGGAGCCTAGAAGGTGGAGGCTGCAGCGAGCCGTGATGACGCCACTGCACCCCAGCCTGGGCCAGAGTGAAACCTGTATCAAAAAAAGACAGAAAGAAAAAGAGCGCGTGCAAGACCACATTTTTGAAGAACTCTAAACCTTGACTGTAGGACATAACAGGAGCCGAACCAAATAAGCAAAAAGGCCCATTCCCACATGGAAGTAAAGTTGTAAACATGTCAATTCTTGTTTTTTTGTTTTTTTGAGACAGAGTCTCACTCTGTTGCCTGGGCTAGAGTGCCAAGGTGTCAGCCCAGCTCACAGCAACCTCAAACTCCTGGGTTCAAGCAATCCTCCTGCCTCAGCCTCCCGAGTAGCTGGGACTACAGGCATGTACCACCATGCCTGGTTAATTATATATATATATATATTATAATATATATATATATACTATATATATTATATTTTTTTTTTTAGTTGGCCAATTAATTTCTTTCTATTTTTAGTAGAGATGGGGGTCTCGCTCTTGCTCAGGCTGGTTTCGAACTCCTGACCTTGAGCGATCCTCCTGCCTCAGCTTCCCAGAGTGCTAGGATGTCAATTCTTTACAAGCTACTTTGTAAACTTATGTAATCCCAATCAAAATGTCCATAGAATTTTCCAAAGAATTTAATAAGCTGATCCTAAAGTCATCTGGAAGAGATAATCCACGAGAATGGTAAAAAAAAAAAAATCTTAGAAAAATCTCACAGCCAGGCATGGTGGCTGTGACTGGAACCAACATTCTGAGAGGCTAGGAGTTCAAAGCTGCAGTGAGCTATGATGACCTCACTGCTCAGCTCCAGCCGGGGCAACAGAGGGAGATCCTGTCTCAGAAAAAAAAAAAAAAAAAAGGAAGGAAAGGAAAGGAAAGGAAAGGAAAGGAAAGGAAAGGAAAGGAAAGGAAGGAAAGGAAAGGAAAGGAAAGGGAAAAACTGAAGGCGGACACAATTACCCTTTTGTATATCTAAAAATTACATCAAAGTATAGCCATTAAGACAAACTGGTATTTGTCCAAGGACACGTGGAATAAATCGAAGACCCCAGAAATTGTCCTCGTATACAGGAAATTTAGGAACCTCAAGTCAGTGAGGAAAAGACAGAGTGTTCAATAAGTTTAGGATTTCCATGGAGAGGAGGAAAAGGGCAAATTGAACCCTAACCTTACACTGTTGTGAAATTAAATGCCAAGCCATATTAAGAACTAATGGTCACTCTGGGAGGCCGAGGCGGGCGGATTACTTGAGGTCAGGAGTTTGAAACCAGCCTGAGCAAGAGCGAGACCCCATCTCTACTATAAATAGAAAGAGATTCATTGGCCAACTAATATATAGAAAAAATTAGCCGGGCATGGTGGCGCATGCCTGTAGTCCCAGCTACTCGGGAGGCTGAGGCAGAAGGATGCTTGAGCCCAGGAGTTTGAGGTTGCTGTGAGCTAGGCTGATGCCACAGCACTCACTCTAGCCTGGGCAACAAAGCAAGACTCTGTCTCAAAAAAAAAAAGAAAAAGAGCTAATGGTAAGAGCAATGCCATAAGACTATTGTAATCAAATACAAGGGAATATTTTAAATCTTCAGTAACTATCTGCCGTGGGAGGAGCAGCGCTGGCACCTGAGCCCGGTCCTTAGTGTAAAGCCTCCAACCTCTCAAGCCTGCCAGTGCCAGGCTGTCCCCTGCAGGGCGAGGGCAAGCCCATTAGCCAAGCTCCAAAACTGCTCGGATGAGGACATGCAAAACCACGTTGGAGGCAAAAGCCAGGGAACGTCTACACTGTGGAAAGCCTAAACTAGGGGCAGCTAAAGCAGAGAGAAAACAGAAAAAGACCAAGGGTCCTAGCCACACCAAGTGCAGCGTTTTCCCACATTACTTTGCGGTTTTTTTAGTTTTGTTTTGGGTTTTTTTTTTTGAGACAGAGTCTCACTTTGTTGCCCAGGCTAGAGTGAGTGCCGTGGCATCAGCCTGGCTCACAGCAACCTCAATCTCCGGGGCTCAGCGATCCTACTGCCTCAGCCTCCGAGTAGCTGGACCACAGGCATATGCCACCATGCCAGCTAATTTTTTTTTGTATATATATTTTTAGTTGGTCAATTATTTATTTCTATTTTTGGTAAGACGGTCTCGCTCAGGCTGGTTTCGAACTCCTGACCTTGAGCAATCCGCCCGCCTCGGCCTCCAAAGTGCAGGATTACGGCGTGAGCCACCACGCGCGGCCTTGTTTTGGGTTTGAGGGAGGGGGTTCTCTAGAGTTGCTGGAACATTCTAGAGCCCCTGAGTCTTCCAGAATCCCTCCCGCCCTGCCAAAGGTAACCATTACTCTACACTGTTTGATCATCAGTGCCAATCAGGTTTTATACTCTCTATAAACAATATACTATTGTTTGCATGTTTTAAAATGTACATAAATGACTCATACCTAACCTTCTATCAGTTGCTTTTTTTCTTATCAATGTTTCTGATATTTATTTACATTGAGACATTCCTTTTTGTTAAAAGAACAAGCATAATTTATTCATGCATCTCCTGCTAGGGAAACTGAAGTTGCAGCAGTGAGCACTCTGCCCATGTGCGCCTGGTGCACATGTGGCATTTCTCTAGGAGGAAGCCCGGGAGTCCATCTCTGAGGGCAGGGATAGATACTTCAATTTTCCTAGGTATTGCCAAATTGTTCTCCAAAATTATCATATGAATTATAGTCCATAGTCCAATAGTGTTCCACATTTTGGCCAAACTCTAGGC